TGGAGTGTGGGACAGCCTGGAGCTATGACAGGGTGGATAAGGTGACTCTTTATTGTGTCAGCCATTTGTAACAAAAAGTTTATATAAACGAGTTGGACTTTTCGTCTTATTAGATTTAGTTTGTAAAAGGAAGTGGGACATTTTAAACATATTTCTAAACTGAGTTGCTGATGAGGCCACAGATAGTTTTTCAAGGGTTTGGGGAAATCAGGCAGTGTCTCATCTGCTGTTAATTAATGAAATGAAACTGGGGTCACTAGAGTACAACGATGAATGAAAGGTCAGTGAATGGAAAAAGCTGTCAATGAAGGAGGATGTCAGCAGAGTGGAACCTTGTCCTAGATAAAGATCAGGGAAAATGTGCCCTTTGGCTGAGGTCGAGTTTTTTGCAAGTAACTTGGAGCTGTGGTTTGGGACATTTCAAGACAGACTGAACACTAAATGAATGCTCTGTTAACTATTTTAAGGCTGTTGCAATTTGTGCCGGAGATTAGTTGAAAAGATTTGTAAAAAAGAGGATTCTTTTTGTTTTATAGTATGTTTAACAATGTGTTATTGCTGTTTTGTTTGCATTTTGGGTTTAGTTTGGGGTCCAACTGCGGGTTTCTTTCTCTCATTTATTTCTTTTCTCTTAGAATTTTCTAAAGCCACACTCACTTTTGAGGTTCACTGAAGTTAAAGTGATTAGGGTCACTGTACTCACCTATGGTGGAGCTGGGCCTGCACTCTCAGTTCAGGAATGTTACAGAATGTGTCCCCTCTGAAAGTTGTCCTTAGGGTGGCCCAAACCCATCGGGAAGTAGCTGCAGCTTCACCACCGTGCTCTTAAAGCAACCAGAGACTCAGTGTGTGTTTCAGCTCTTTCATGTGAAGTTCACTCTCTGGTGTCTCCGGTCATGTCAGACCTCCTTCCGGGTTGTACTTGCAGGTGTAGGAATTCTAATTGATTTTATTTCAGTAGTTGCAGTGGCCCCAGTATAGCGTTTCCTTAAGTGTGAGTTCCATTAGCATTCTATACATTTTAGGAGGAGGAATGAGTGAGGGAATTCCATGATCAAAAAAGTTCGGGAAACTATTTGAGTTCAATGAAATTACTGTAAACTAGTTTCTTTGGAGATATTTTTTGGAGCCTTTGATATGCTAATGTGTGCTGTGACACTCCCAGGGACATGTGATATGCTATATTTCTCTTACTTTTTGGACCAATATCTTGTCTGTCAACTTCCTGCAGGACACCAGTGCTCTGGAGCACACTTTGGGAAATGTAACCTTAGAAGCAAGGTTGTTAGTTTTTTTTTCACCTTTTGTCTCTCGTGAATCCTAACAATGTGAAGCAAAACAAGTTGTGGACAAAGGTTGGAGGAAGGCTTCCTGGATATGAGGCTAGAACAGGGGTGGGCAAACTTTTTGACTCGAGGGCCACAATGGGTTCTTAAACTGGACCGGAGGGCAGGAACAAAAGCATGGATGGAGTGTTTGTGTGAACTAATATAAATTCAAAGTAAACATCATTACATAAAAGGGTATGGTCTTTTTTTTTTTTTAGTTTTATTCATTTCAAGCGGGCCGTAGTTTGCCCACGGCTGGGCTAGAAGATCCTAAATGAGTGATCACTATCTATACTAATAAAAGAGTAATATGCTAATTAGACCAGGAGACCTTCTGGAGATCTTTTGGATGTCCTTCCGGACAAAGCCAGGGGCTTGGCCAGTCTGCAAGCTGCCCCCAAACAGCCCTGAGCCCTTCGCCCAGGCTGACCATGCCCCCCTCAGGGACCCTCACCCCAATGGGGGGGGTGGCCAGCCTGCAAACGGCCATCAGCCTTTTGCCCAGGCCTGCCCCGCCCCCCCAGTGGGGACCCCCACCCCGATGGGGGCGTAGACGGCCTGCAAACCCCCCCAGCCCTTCGCCCAGGCTGGCACCGCCCCCATTGGGACTCCCACCCTGATCCGGCAGGGCAGACCAGCCGGCCCCCACCCGTGCACCAGGCCTCTATCTATACTAATAAAAGGGTAATATGCTAATTAGACCAGGAGACCTTCCGGACGTCCTTCTGGACAAAGCCATGGTGGCGGGGCTGAGGCAGAGGCGGTTAGGGGTGATCAGGCCAGGAGGGGAGGGCAATTGGGGGTGATCAGGCGGGGGGGGGGGCAGTTAGGGGCAAGCAGGCCGGCAGGGGTGCAGTTGGGGGCTAGCAGGCCGGCAGGGGGGCAGTTGGGGGCAATCAGCTCGTCAGTGGTGGGCAGTTCAGGGTGAGCAGGCCGGTGGGGGGGCAGTTGGCAATGAGCAGGTCGGCAGGGGGACCAGTTGGGGGCGATCAGGCAGGCAAGGGGGGACAGTTGGGGGTGAGAAGGCTGGTGGGAGGGACAGTTGGGGGTGAACAGGCAAGCAGGCAGAGTGGTTAGGGGTGGTCAGGCAGGCAGGCAGGTGAACAGTTAGGAGCCAGTGGTCTCAGATTGCGAGAGGGATGTCCGACTGCTGGTTTACTGAGGGGTCCCAGATTGGAGAGGGTGCAGGCCGGGCTGAGGGACACCCCCCCCCCACCCCCATGCACAAATTTCGTGCACCGGGCCACTAGTATAGAAATAATCATTACTGATACCTGTGGAGTGCTTACTATGTGCCAAGCACAAAGCACTTAGATGTATTGACTAAGTCAGGGGTCCTCAAACTATGGCCCGCGGGCCACATGCAAATACAAATATTGTATTTGTTCCCGTTCTGTTTTTTTACTTCAAAATAAGATATGTGCACTGTGCATAGGAATTTGTTCATAGTTGTTGTTTTTTAAACTATAGTCCGGCCCTCCAACGGTCTGAGGGACAGTGAACTGGCCCCCTGTTTAAAAAGTTTGAGGACCCCTGGACTAAGTTAATGCTCTCAACAACTCTATAAGGTAGATATGATCATTATCCCTACTTACAGATGAGGAGACTAATAGCCAGAGGGCTTAAGTAACTTGCCCAAATCAGGCAACTAGAAAGGGTTGAAGCCAGAATGTGAACTTGGATACAAGAGCCTGGTGTTCTTATTTTTTCTGCTGCACGATCGTGGGCTTGTATGTGTGGTTTGTATGCTGTGTGCGTGCATGGGGTGGGGTGGTGGTGGTGGGGGTGGTGGCGATGGTGGTATTCCTGGATGAGAGAAGAGCATGAATGTGTGAAATAATGACTTTCGTGTAGCTGGAGGTCATGGTGCCAATGGTAAGAAATGAAACGATGAAACTGTACAGGTACAGGTCCCGAGGGTCTCATCTGTCACACACAGGAATTTGGGGTTTCTGTAGTGGAGCCACTTATTCTTTCCATCAGGCTACCTTAACAGCTTTGGCAAGCAAACTGCTATGAGTAAAATAGTCCAGACAGCCAGGCTGGAGGCTAGGAATGCATACACACTCTTAACATTTTGCAGGGGGGCTAGTGGTCACTGACTTCCGCCATCCTAGCTGGCTGCCTGTGGAACATATACCCAGCGCAGACAATAGACACAGGAGTCTAGCAGATTATGCTTGAGTTGCACATAATTCAGGGGAAGCTGAGGGATGGCACTCTCTCCCTCTCCCTGTACTTCTGCAGTTTTGGAGGGCATATTTTGTATGCCTTCTGGAAGTGGACTAAATACTAGTAGAATGTGACTCAAGAAAATGGATTTATGCATCTCATAAATATTTAATGAGATTTTAAGGTCTTACGGCTTGATCAAAGAGGTAAAAGTGGAGCTTCTCTGTCTTCTAATAAGACTTAACATGGTAATGTTTTCTAATGAAAAGGTGTTAAAATATACAAGTCTTTTCTATGATCCAAATATCCTTAGTTCCTGAGTTTGAACTTAGTAGTGACAGTTTGGCTAGCAAGAAACTTATCTGAAAATTTATCAGAATCTACATGGCTCCTGGATTTGGATTTGGCTAGCAAAGAATACGTGAAGACTTTGTACTTTCTTTTCTCAGAGGAGGTGAGAGCGCCTCCTATGGCTAGATTTCTCTTCATTAAGAAGTGTTAAGATTGTGACTTCATGAAGGTCATGGAGCAGATCATTATAAGAACAGGACTAGGAAAAAAAGGAATTCATCTGAGTCCGGGAATCTTGCCATGAGGCCCCCCTGTACCCTAACCAGTTAGGGTCTGTCAGCACTTCTTTATAGTGCTCAGCGAAATGAACAGGAGACCTCAGGAATCAGTGGTAACTATGGGAACCTTGACTAAGTACTCAGGGAATCCCAAGGGGTTGGCACAGACAGTATTGGTAAGGGTAGAGCCGAGTATGTTTCTGATACCTTTGCAATAAAAAACCTGTACAATAGAAAGATTTAAACTTAATTCCAGAAAGAATTTTTAACTCGATTAGTTATATTTTGAAGAAATGTCATATGGCCCCAGTTCGCATTTTTTTATATCCCCTTTTTGTTTCTGTGAATAATTGTCTTGCCTTGGTTACTTGCTATTTGCCTTAAATACTTTTTACATTGCTCGAAGAGCATTTGCACGAGGATGGGGAGCGGGGAGCAAATGTTGCAGGATGTGTGGAAGTGGAGAACGTGAGGAAGAGAAGAGGCATTCTGAGTGCCTTCGAGGTTTGCGCATCCCTGCTGTGGCCCCACAAGCTGAGACGTGGTGCTGGATTGTGTGTCAGGCCCAGCAGTCAGCATGCAGACTGGAATAGGTGGGAGTGTTTCCATTTGCGTCGATGGGATTTAATTTTTTTTCTTTTTTAAAATTTACTTATTTATAAATTACATACAAGGACTGTTATACTTACATATTATGAAAATTATAAAACATAAGATTTGAAATCAGAAATGACAAGATAAAAATAAACATGTTTTTTCTAATATTTTCTCCTTTTTTATCTTTTAATTACAGTTTACATTCATTATTACTTTGTATTAGCTTCAGTTGTACAGCATTTGATTTTTCTTTTTAAGCGGTTTTGTTCGAGTAGTCCACAGAGGCTGATTTCTGTCTTTGTGCATGGCATAATTTTATTCTGCTTATCCTTAGGTGGGTTTGCTGAGTTCTCCCGTTGTTTCCCTGGCCTCTGTGAAGGAAAATCCACTCTAGTTCCTACCTGTATTTCTCAGCCGTGCTTACCGGTTGCCAACATTGGGCCAACCCGAATTCTTCCCAATCTTTATCTTGGCTGCCAGGGAGATGTCCTCAACAAGGTGGGTGCTTTGAAAATGTCCTTCATTGCAGGGTTTATTGTTAGCAGCTGGAGAAACAGCGATCGCCCATGCGCTGTGGTGTCAGACACACCTGGCTTCCAGGAAGGAAGTACACCCTTCTCAGGGTGACTCCTGGCGAGCGCTTACATCATCTTTTGGAGTGCTGTTTTGTTTGATGTTAACGATTGCCATAGGAAACCCACACTGTTGTCATATTTGCTTCTTCCTCATAGGTCCAAGAGACCTGGAATAGGACAGGATTTTTCAGAAGTTTAGCCTTCTTTTCTTAGTGTATTCATTTTTCTATTTTAATAATTGGGCACACTTGGGAAGGCTAAACAGCATTCAGAAGTGTGTGTACTTACTGCAGCACACTACAAGGGCTCGGGTGGACTTGGGTTGAGGAAGGACAACATGGTGATCGCTGGCTGGAGGGGCAGGGGATGTGGTAAAACGATGGCAAGGACAGGGATAAGGGTGCACTGCAGGCTGCACTGTCTGATGCTCATTGGAGCAGTTTGGTTGAGAAAGCAGAAGGAACTGCATGGTTTCTTGCTGGAAAGGCTGTGGGCTGTACTGAACGAGGTGTGCCCAACAGAGGAACCACGTTGTTGAGGCTGTTGTATATAATGGTACAAGCATAACAGTAGTAGAAAATCTGTCTGCCTCCACAGCTTATATCCTCTTAACCCAGTGGTTCTCAACCTTCTGGCCCTTTAAATACAGTTCCTCATGTTGTGACCCAATCATAAAATTATTTTCGTTGCTACTTCGTAACTGTAATGTTGCTACTGTTATGAATTGTAATGTAAATATCTGATATGCAGGATGGTCTTAGGCAACCCCTGTGAAAGGGTCGTTCGACCGCCATAGGGGTGGCGACCCACAGGTTGAGAACCACTGTCTTAACCGGTAGTGATAGAAAACAGTGTTCTAAGTACTCAGAAAAGTGGTTTTTCTCTAAAACCTCTAATTTACATCACCTCTAGTTGATAAAGCAATCAAAGATATTCATTCAGCTGTTGGCGATTTTCAAGTGCTGCTTTGCTATATGAAGGCAGAACCTTAACATTTTTTCCTTGAGGAATTGAAAGAATCGGGCCGCCTGTGAAAGCAGCGTCCAGATTGGCTTGCATTAGCAGGGGAAAGCCAGGCTTTCCAGGAGGAAAAGTACTGTCATTGGACAGCCATGAGGCATTCCGTTTTTGTTTTTTCCTTTTTTCTCAAAACTTCTGCCTCTTTAAAATTTTACCTTGACACTGTTTTACTCTATCAGCTCTTACTGTGAGATCTGCCTGTTTGAAATTTGATAGTTGATGTTTGTACTGAGCCTTTCTGGTGAGGTCACAATGCCTTTGAGCATGTGATGCTTATTAATTCTCTTTTAGAGATAAGCAAACCATGTCACAGAAAGCAGAATTAATTTCCTAAAGTCACATGCCTCCCTAGGGCAAAATGGGAGATGCTTTATTTAAAATCTCAGATCAGAAAATAAATGAATATAAAATTTCTAGTTAGGGACCCTGTCCACAATTACCCCAGTGAAATGCAACCAGTGATTGTGTTACAGATCACTTTAGTTATCTTTGACCCTAGATTAAATGTCACATTTTTCTACATACCTTTTCCAGGTTTAACAAATGAGTTAGTTAACCACTACGTGAGTGCCCCCAAAGTGAGAGCAGTTAAACTGTAGTGGAGGACAGGGCAACAGTTTCCTCATTTTCACGGGCTTCTAAATGTGTACTAAAGTCGATCCATTGAGAGGAAGTGGTCGTAGGAAGTTCATGGGTGAAACAGTTGGGGCAGGGAGTACGGAATACCGTCAGAAAGCTGTTTTATTAAAACACATGTGATTAGGGAGTGGTGAGAAAGAAGAATGCACTGGTAGGCGGCCGCTCTGAAAGTGGTGCATAGAGGTTTATCTCTGACTCCCAGGTTCATTGCTGAGAAGAGTCTTCGTGCTGAAGGGGATTTCAGAGATCCTCTACTCATCCTCCTCCATTCAATGAATGAGGAAGTTGATATTCCACAAATGTCAAATGAATTCCCTATGATGAGTCTTCGAACCAGATTGGCCTCTGATCTTCCTTCTCAGCTCTCTGATTTAAACTTTCCAGGAGAAATAATATGCTTCTTGAAGTTCTTCAAAGATAAAGATTTTTTAATCTTTACTAATAGTACATTCCTTTTGATTAAAATTTAGAAACTAAAGTCTTTAAAAACAGCACCCATAGGCCACTGATTTTATCAGTCTTTAAAAAAAAAAAAGTGACACCAAAATATGATAAAACCATGTCACAGAAATTCTGTTGGGAGGGTTATTTACCATTTAAAATTCTAGGCTCTTTATATGATTGTGCTTAATCCCCATAATGGCATTAGGAGGTAGGTTGGCCATGTACCCAAGATTTTGTGGCTAGGAAGTCATTGGCTTTAAAGCTGGTCAGTGGCAGAGATCAAATTCAAACCCAGGCTTTAAGTCCTGTGTTTATAGAACATCAGAAGTACCCATCTTTTGGAAAATGGAACTTTCTATAATAGGCTGTTATGAAGGACTGACAAATCTTAACAGTCTATTCAATCACAACTGAGATTCTCTTTCCCTGCGTTTTCCATATATTTTATACCAACATTGCCCAAGAGAAATGTGATGCAAGACACATACATAACTTAAAATTTTCCAATAGCTTTATTAAAAAAGTAAAAGGAAGCAGGTGAAGTTAATTTTAAACATTTTATTTATCACAACATATTTAGGATATTACTTGAACATGTAATCAATGCAAGAATTACTGAAATGCTTTACATATTTTGTACTAAGTCTTTAAAATCAGGTGGGTATTTCATAGTTAGTTACTGCACATCTCCGTGTGGACGAGCCACATTTCAGGAGCTCAGTAGCCACATGTGGCTTGTGGCTGCCCTACTGGCCAGTGCAGGCCAGTGCTCTCAACGTGTATTAATTTTTACTTATGTCTCAAAGACATGGCTCTTGTGTAGAAGGCCATAAGAAGTCATTGGTAGCAAAAAGAATACTTTTATTTTCCTTTTTCCCTCACAACTATACTTTTGTTTCTCACAGTCTGTTCTTTATCCTCTAGTCTTTGTACTAGAGTTGGACCAGGAATAGCTTATTGTACTGAAAGTAGTTTGCTGATGCCCACTCAGAACTGAGTGGGATTTGAGCAAGAATCTCTAGTTACTATGTAAAAGACAGACGTTCTTGATTGCTTCTCTCCCTTATCACTTAAAATTTCAAATAGAGACTTTTGCTTCTCACTTAACTACATAAAATGTGTGACGAAATTGCCTACTTTGAGTAGTTAGTTACTGAACCAGAGCTGTGCCTGTCGTGAGCCACCTCAGCCTCTTCACGAAGCAGCTCTACTGTCCCCTCTTCCTGTTTTAAACAGTGTGCTGCCAGCATTCTGTGTGTAGCTTCTGCTTTCAGTCCTTTACCGTGCAAAACTGGGGTTGCCATGCTACCTTACTGTTCTGCCTGCCACAAGGACTCCTGCTACTTTTCTCTCTTGTTTTCTTACTAGTGTAAGGGTTAGGCAATACCCCAGACACAGTATAGCCAAATGCTGCTTTCCGGTTTCTGTATGACCTAGGAAGACAAAGGTCACCAAAATTTTCAGTAAATACACAGCATTTATTCAGTGTCTGCTATGTGTAGAACACCACAGTGTGCAATCGGTTAGACAAGACCTGTTCACTAAAGAAGAATTCACAAGACAAGGTGATTGGCAGTGTCACTCCCGACGCTGAGGCAGAGTGGCGTAATGACCGGAGCGAGCCTTGGAGGCGGCAGTTTTGCATCCCAGGTCTCCACTTACCAGCCACGTCACTTTAGCCAAGTTACTGAATCTTGGTTTCTTCACCTGCAAACCGTAATGATTCCTGCCTCTTAGTGTTCATGTGTGACTCGAGTGAAGTGACATATGCCAAGCACCAAGCACTGTGCCTGGTTTATAGGGACACTCATTATTGTCATCACAAGGTGGGTTATACCAGTTGCTAGGGTAAGTGGTACACACAGTGGGTGTGGTTGGTTGAAAAAGGCTAGATGGAAAAAGTAGGAGCTAAGGTCAGTTTTGAGGGCAAAAGGAGTGGCTCGTGCAAAATTATTCACTGAGTTTTGACTTCTGAAAGAAAAATTACAATTCCATCATCTAGAATTGCTATGATTTAATGGGACATCTGTTTTCAGTCTAGCTGAACACGGGAGACTTGATCAAATAGAGCGATTTTATTAATGCTTTATATTAATCTATATTCTATCTATTACTCCACAGTCTATCAACAGATTATAGAGTCCATATTTAAAAATTAATTTACAGGGGAAAGTTTATTTTATGGTTCAGGAGAAAAAAGCTGTTTTTAAAAATATATATTTTTATTGATTTCAGAGGGGAAGGCAGAGTGAGAGAAAGATAGAAACATTCATGATGAGAAAGAATCATGGATTGGCTCCCTCCTGCACGCCCCTACTGGGGATTGAGCCTGCAACCCAGCATGTGCCCTTGACTGGAATCAAACCTGGGACCCTTCAGTCAGCAGGCTGACGCTCTATCCACTGAGCCAAACCAGCTAGGGCAGAAAAAAACTTTTAATGGGAAAAAATAGTACATGAAAATCATAATTAATAATAAAATTAAGATTTATTTTTGAATGTTTTTAAAATTATGTATTGAATCCATTTTTAAAAATTCTTAGGGGATAATCTCTTCTACTTAACTGCATGAACCCTTTTTTATTTCCAGCCTGCTACAGTTGGTATAATTTTTCTACTTAAGGCCAGTTAGGGGAAAGAACAGTTTGAATTAGTAAAAAAATATACATTATAGGCTTTAAAAAATATGTTTTTATTGATTTTAGAGAAGGAGGAAGAGGGAGAAATAGAAACATGAATGAGAAACATCATCCATTGGCTGCGTCCTGCACGCCCCCTACTGGGGATCCAGCGCACAACCCAGGGAATCGAACGGAATCTAACTGGTGACCTCCGGGTGCATGAGTCGATGCTAACCACGGAGCCACACCGGCCAGCATAGCCTTTTGAGGGGAGGGGATAACAGTTTTATTGAGATATAATTCATAATACCATATGATTTATAAGCTTTTTTATTGAGATATAATTGACATATAGCATTATGTGACCACCTGTTTTACAGGTGAGGAAACTAAAGCTGAGGGAGATTAGGTAGCCTACCCAAAATCATTCAGGTAATAAACAGTAATGTGCTAAGCTGTGCTCTTTCCTGGGGCCGGTAGCCATGTGCTTTTCATTATTCCATGCACACTGAGTTCATCACAGGAACAGGAGAGAAAGAGTATATCGGTACATGTGCTGGTAGAAGGGTAAATGTGGTAGCAGAAGTTTATTGAAATTTGCTTTTGATTGTTCCAGCTTTTTCAGTGTAGTAGGAAACACGACCAGCTGTCAGCTGACAGTGAGGATGAAGGAGGACATATAGAGAGTTTGGACAGAAAGGGAAATGGATGGAATGGCATCTAGGAGAGAGAAAAAGCGAACAGACTAGGGAAATAGAATGATTGCTGAGGAGCAGTGAGTTCAAAGTGAGATCGGCAGTGTTGCTGAGTGTTTTTCCTCTGGCCATGTTCAGCACATGGATTCGCAGATGTAGAGGAGGTAGAGAATTAGATTTAACCAGGGTTGTAATCTTGCCACATGTGTGTGAAGAAGCAATAGTGGGACAAAGGAATTGAGCGTGAAATCAACAGTGATTATGATTGACCACAGAATTTAAGCTGGGCAAGGAAGGAAGACTGGAACATTATGAGGATGAAGGACAGATCTAAAAGGGGTAGGATCAACAGATTATAAGTCCTGGGGGGACTGAAGGACTCCAGGAGTACTGGGACAAGAGAGCAAGCTGGAAGGAGGAAGGAGTCCAAGAGTGAGTTGGTGAGGTCGAGTTTAGGGAGGGTTTGTGGTTATTGGTAACAGCAGAGACCAGACGAGGTCTCACGGGTGTAAGTGGTTAAGGGGAGGAATTTAAAGGACTGAGAAGCCATGGTGTTGAAAGGATAGTTGAAGACAGAGAATAAAGAGCATTTTATCAGTACAAAGTATCTATTAGCAGACTTTGCACAACGTTGAGCTAAATGTTAAACAGTATAACATGATTGCTCTTTGGAAACTTCAAGGTTATGATGTTTAATTATGGAACACAGTAATATTCAGTTGTGTATGTTTTATACAATATTCTGAAACAAAACTGAATGGTAACATAAATATCTTTATAATTTAGTAAGAAATCGTTGACATCCATCTGTGAATAAAAATAATCAGAGGTAGACCCATTCTTCATAATTGTAATTCCATTGCAGTTCCATTGTCAGAACATTGACACAGATGCCCTCTCAACTGCTCATATGCATATAAGAATGATCAGGGGAGCAGGTTAGTGAATAGTGATGTGAAACTTAAGCAAAACTTGAGCTGACTTTAGAGATGCACTGAAATCTCCACCTGATGCCCTCAGCAGGGGGCTGCCTGGTGGGCTCCTGGCTGCTGCACATCTACTTCCACCATTGCTCTTATCCCTGTTTAGGACAGTGTGCTTATTATCATTATGTACAGTAATTAAAACATTACATACACCAATGAACTATGAATGAGGGAAGATAATTGTTTTTCTATGACCTAAGCTAAATGTTTTCGAAAGATTCAGGAAAGACAAATTGCTTTACGTTTTTTTTCTGTTTAATTAGGTGGGAGGAAGCAACTGAAAAAATATTTAGGGGACAGTCATAATGTAGAAGGATTCTGTTCTCATATTGTTTCACAAGTTCTTGCCCATTAAAGAAATGGAAACATAAGTGGTAGATGCATTTGCTTGTGATTTGCTTAAGAACTCCAGTCAGATAACCTATAAAAATAAAATCCATAGTCCTACATCAGAAGTTAGCAAATTAATGTACACTTATTTGTTTTTAGTTAAAATGTTTTAAGTACATATGTATCATTTTATTGATTTTTCTCCTTTAACTGACTTTTCTCAAAGACATAGTAACTACCAATCCAGATGAGAGGGTCCTTATTTATGGCATTTAATTTAGTAGCCAAATAATATTTAAATTTTATATGGTGACATTTTATGACTTTTGTTTACTTTTTGTTTTTAAAAATGACCATGTTTAATTTATTAAATCCCATCTTATTACAAAAAGAATTTCAGGTAGCAGCTGGATAATTGATTTAATAAAAAGATTTTCTATAAATAAAATTTTTATAAATCAAGTGAAATTAATCCATTTTTTCTCATTTTGTGTTTAAATTATTTTATTATCACTCAATGTCAGCACATTAATATCTTTCCCTTCCTCTTTTTTTTTTTTAAATATATTTTATTGAGTTTTTACAGAGAGGAAAGGAGAGAGATAGAGAGTTAGAAACATCGATGAGAGAGAAACATCGACCAGCTGCCTCCTGCACACTCCCCACTGGGGATGTGCCCGCAACCCAGGTACATGCCCTTGACCAGAATCGAACCTGGGACCTTTCAGTCCGCAGGCCGACGCTCTATCCACTGAGCCAAACCGGTTTCGGCTCCCTTCCTCTTTTGCCAGTTTTATCTAAAATAAAACTACTATTTAAATGCACCTTTTATAGTACATTGCTTTGTACGTATGAGATGCAAACAGTGTGGTAAACCTGGATTACTGATGTTTCCTAAATGAGGCCATAGCCATGCATCTGCAGTTTGGTGATGCGGCCATCAGTGTGAGGACAGTGAAGGTGCACATGGATAACCTGACCCCAACAGCAGGTCCCAATGTCAACATGGCAGAAAGACCAGCACTGTGTCGTCTACTGACTGCAACTGAGGCGACAGAAGGGGGGAAAGAAGGCAAATAAGACTTGGATAAGTCTCTTCAAATAGCCGTCTGTTCTTACCTGGGAGATACAGTAGTAGGTGATCTCAGCTACATGTACAGTTTAAAAGCTGTGGTAGTAAACACCATGATGACCTTCACCACCTCATGTGAAACCTTCAGGAGACGGGCTTGGGCACAGCTGGAGGTCGGCCACTGTAAGAAGCTCGCCTAGTTCCAAAAGCTGTGTCTTGACAGTGTCATCTCACAGTTGAGATAGGGTTGCATATATAATCTAGATTTATTAATTCTACCTTTTATGTAAAATAAAATACGTTTATTGTGCCAAATATGGCAAATGAAGGGGTTAGGGAATTGGCATGTTTCAGGAAGGTGAAAGAAGAAAATGACCTGTCAGGTCATTGGGAAAGATTTGTAGAGGAGGTAGCATTACAAGGAAAGGAAGAATGGCCAGTTGCTTGTAAGAGACTTACTTCAGGCTTAGAGCATGTCTCGAGAGGCAGCAGTGGCTGACAAGACAAAGCGGGTTGTGTGGGCTTGCCTGGAAAAGGATAGACGGGTATCAGTTGAAGAAACACGTCTTGAAAGCAGCTATGTACCTGGTGCTAAGGGTAGAAAAACAAGCAAGGATCACGTTAAGATCCCACTACCTCACTACTTAATAGGAGAGAGAAGCATCATCTGCTCATTATAACACAGCATGCTGGTGCTTTACTAATGGTGTGGACAGCCTACTTTGGAAGGACATAGAATGCAGTGGTTCAGAATGCAGCCGTGGGAAAGTTCATAGCAAGGTTAATTTGAACGAAGTAGCAAGAGTGGAAGCGTCATCAGCACGAGAAACAGGGCCTGCTAAGCACAGGAGTGGTGCGAGCAGCAGCACGGAGGGGTGGTTACGCATGTGATGGTGGGGATTTGGAGGTTGTGGGCCCTGGAGCGGGCAGTCCAGAGACACAGTGACATTAAAAGTGTGGATGAAGCACTTAGCCTGTGTTAATGATCAGAAGGATTACTCTAGTGTGTGTTCAGTTTATGGTTTGGAGAGGAAAACACTGCAAACTTCAAGAGGTCCCTGGTGGCTTTATGTTATCACGATGAGGACTGACCACTGAGCAGTAGTGACTGAGAATGGAGGGAGGAAGATAATCGGGGGGTCGAGGGGGGAAGGAGGTGATACCAAGAGGATCTGGCACCCATTTATTTGGGTGAGGGGGTCGTGAGAAAGACGGAAAGTCAAACGATCCTGTTTTCTAGCCCAGGTGTCTGGGTGGATGTTATTACCGCAAACCAATTTCAGATTACAGAGAGAAAACAGGAATTTGGGGCAGAGAAGGGAGAAAGATAATGTGTTGAGCTTCTGACATTTTGAGTTTGAAGGGTCTGAGGAATATCAAATAGAGATATCTAGTAGAGAGTTGGAAATATGGATTAGAAATTTAAGAATCATCAGGATGTAGAGTTGATAATTAAATCTTTGGAAATAGATTCAGCCTTTAAAACGAATATTTAGAGTGAGAAGACCATCTAGAACTGTCCTAGAGAACAACCAGCATGTTGCGTTTGGGAAGAAAATACTCTTGTTGTATGTACATGTATTCTAAAGTCATAGTAAAGTTGTGGTTTTATATTCTTTGTTCTACTTGTCTCTCTAGTAACAAAGTAATTGAGAGCTGACTGTGTTAATGATGTATGACCTTCAAGCATACTATTTTAAACAGCCATTTTTGCCCTTAAAAAAAATTCTGGTTTTATCTTAAGTCTTTTTATAAATGTCACTGGGTTTTTGGATTTTACCTATCGAATGAACTCTGAGCAGTTTCTAGGAAACTAGTATTGAATGAACTTTGATTATTTCAAGGAAACTGGTCATTTTTTATCATTGGTTAAACTTTACTCTTTCAGAATGATTGTGCTAGTATGTTACTAGTCATTTTAATTGCTCTTTCCCTCCATAGGAGCTGATGCAACAGAATGGGATTGGTTATGTGTTAAACGCCAGCAATACCTGCCCAAAGCCTGACTTCATCCCCGAGTCGCACTTCCTGCGTGTGCCTGTGAATGATAGCTTTTGTGAGAAAATTTTGCCCTGGTTGGACAAATCTGTAGATTTCATTGGTAAGCAGCTCAAGTAATATTACAGTCTTTTGGATTGTAGTCTCATGTGTAGGTGTACTCCCTCCGCCTACCCCTTTTTTCCTTTAGAGAAAAGAAGCTTACTTCAGAGATTTCAAAGGTCTGAAAACAGCATATGATGCTGCTTATCTCATTCAGTGGCCAAGGTGACGTGTGTGCCATGCTCTCCCCAAGGGACTGGCCTTCTGACATTCTAGTTAGCTGAGCACTACCACAGCTTAGCCTGATAGGACTGTGATTGTGTATGCAAGTGTTTTAAAATCAGTTGAAATTTCGGGGTTACTTTCTCACCCACTTTTTCCAAACCTATAAAATACTGTTGGAAACTGGTGGCTTTCCTTACCAGGTAAACTGTTTTTGCCTTGCTGCTATATTTTTCCCAGAGAAAAATAAAATCCTGTGAAAACAAATCCCATTATATTTAAAGTCTTTATGCCACAAGATTTCTATCCCTCAGTCCGTGTGCCAGTAATTTCAAGTAGTATTGGATCTAATAAAATTCCAACACACACACACACACACACACACACACACACACACACACACACACACACACACTGCTGCTCATTTCTTTGGTGTTAACTATGACAGGATCTCATCTGTCCCATGTGGTTAGTCCTGGAGCCACCCTTCCCCCCAGCCTGGCTTCTAGCTTGAGGTGCTGTTGTGTCATTTTGTGCTGCAGGATCAAGTCTGCTGGTGATGTGTCTGCAGTGTGGTCCTCGAGGAGAGGTGAACAGAGGAGAAGCATTGCTAGGGTTGACTCTCGATGTTCCAGATGAGGAATTGTTGTTGTTTCCCCCCCTCAAGGCACATAAATTTGAGTATTCTAATCCACAATTGAATACTCTGAATTGGTTATTGTAATTTTTAAAAAAGAACTTTTAAAAAGTGAAATTATGTAAATTAAGCCTCTCACTATATATACTTCTTCTGTGAGAGAAATTTTTAAGAATTTGGATAATTCTGAAAGAGTTCTCTTTTTCTCAAGATTCTAGATTGCCAAGTTTTTCATCTTTAGTTAGGATACATCTGTGAAGCATCTTAAGATAAAGGCTTAGCTATTTCACCTTAAAATAATCACAAACAAAACTCCCAAATTGATCCCTCCCACTGTACTTCTAGGAAATATTCAGCATATCATGTAATTTCTGCCTCTTTAAAAGATAACAATTATGATTAATGTGCTCATTGCCTATCACATTGGTCCAGAGACGTTTGGCTCTAATTTCAGCTAAAAATAAAATTTCAGAATCTATGTAAGAGAGCCTTATTCTGTTAAATCGTGACAATGTCTAAGCTTTAGGAGGGTTAATGGAAAAGACAATATGAAGAACTTTGCCCTCAACTTATTTTCTTTCATGGGAGATATTGGTGTCATCCTGCCACTTTTAATTCATATAAAAGGAACTTCAGCATGTTTCAAGTTGGTTAAATACACACACACACAAATAATGTGATTTATTTGTAGCACCCAGTCATTCAGGGCAAACTCTCCAGCCCCATTCTGGAATTAGCTGTTTTGAAAATTATTATGAGTTTTTTCCCCCTTAGAGCTGTACTCTGTAATCTCAGTTGTTACTACCTTCATGTTAGCCTCTGGAACTCGATGTCCTCACAGGTTCCCCCTTACCCTTTACATCTGTTATTTTCTCGCCCTTTTTTAACCTAGATTTTACCCCTGAAGTGCTGTGGTGGTAACCTACTTTTTAAATTCCCTGTTTTCACCATCAAGCCCACTTGTTCCTCATTCAGGAAACCACAGAGGCTCCTTAATTGTCCCCAGGCCCTCCAGCACCTTCACCCCACCTCTGAAACCTTCTTTCTGGTTATTTCCTGCACCGCTCATGAGCATTAGCCAGGACAGACTGTCTTCTGAGCAGCCTGCCCTCACAGAGCTTTCTTACATACATTTCCCTTCCCTCTGCCAGGTCTGTGTATATTACTTCCTTTGCTTTAAGAATCAGTATAGCACTAACTTCTGCCAAAAAATATGTTCTAATGAACCCCACTCCAGTATAATCACTTTTTAGTTAGATTTTTAAAGTACATCATCAAAAAAGTTATAATTGTAAAAACAGTGTAAGGGAAATGCAGAATATTTGTAATACAGAGAAAAGGAAACCTCTAACCTCAACATGTTTACATATCTGTTATCATGATTGTTGTTTTTTTCCAAGCTTTTTCAAATTTTTTCTAAAGATTGCTTTTTTAAATATGTATCAGTCAGCCAGACAGTATTTACCATGTGACCAGTATTAAACCCTTTGGGGGTAATTTTAGAAGCAAGACCCTTCTAGGTTCTTATAATGTAGTTTGAGATAATTAATTAAAATAATTAGAGAATACTGACAACATAAAAAAATAAACTTAGCCTACTTCCAATAAGAGTTTTTTAAAATTGACTTTAGAGCGAGGGAGGAGGGAGAGAGACAGACAGACACCCATGTGAGAAAGAAACATCAGTTGCCTCCCACACACGCCCCTCAGCGTGTGTGGATCGAACCCTCCGCCTGCGTATGGCCCTGACTGGGAATTGAATCTGCCACCTTTTAGTGTATGGGATGATGCTCCAACCATCTGAGCCACACTGGCCAGGACTCTAAAAAGAATTTGGAGCAGTTTACAGTAAGAGTTTGAGATCAAAAGACACATACTCACACACATTAAAATGGGACAAAGGGGAAGCTTGGGAAGGTACAATAAAATCTGAATCACAGTTACCTATTGAAATAAAGTGACAACCTTAGCTTTGAGCTTCTTAGCAGCCAAGACAGAGGGGAAATACTAAGAGCAGTATAGGCTGAGAGAAGGAAGAGAACTGTGTCAGTCCAGTAAGGCATGGGACTTTATGTACATGGGTTTGTATAATATTATGTTATACTAGAGGCCTGATGCACGAAATTCGTGCAAGAGTAGGCCTTCCTTCCCCAGGCTGCTGGCACCGGCCTTCCTCTGGCACCCGGGACCCGGGCTTCCCTTGCAGCCCCAGCTTCCTCTGGAAGGTGATTGGCCTAATTAGCATATTATGCTTTTATTATTATAGGTAGTATTTGTTTCATTGTTGCTTTGTATTAGTTTATTTTATTATATTTGATTTCCCTATCTAAAGGGAAGCTGCTTGATTATCCATATACTATTCAAAAGCCCTGTGGTGTTTTGTACACAATGAATAATTAATTATACAATAGAAATTTATAATATACAGAGGTAATAAGATTATTATTCAGCTGCCAGAGCAGATTCCTTGGATATCTGTTAATTACAAGAATTTTAATATAAGGTTTGGTAAACCTTTGGTAGTATCAACTAAAACAAGAATTCAAAGAGAAGAATTTAGCTGCATGGCAGCAGCTCATGGTAACACACAGGTAATTGTTTAGAATTGAGGCAGTCATCATACTAGTTACAATATTAGTTGCCTCCAGGCCGTGTGGAATAACTTCATCCACTCCCACAAGAACGCTATTAAAGCTCCTCAACAGTGAGAGATGGCAGCACCGTTTGTTGAATTGCCTTGGTTCTTGGTTCTAACAGTGCCCATGAGTCCTTCTACCATGTTATGGAGAGTTAAGATGATGTAATCATACAGTAACTTCTGGATATCAAGGAAGGGATAACAATTCTCTTGGTCCTTATTAAAGTGACCTACCAAACCTAATTTATAGTATATCTTGATTTTCTTTCCTCTTAAATTCAGGAAATAAAGTTGAGCAACTTCATGACATATAGAAAAGTTTCCTAACAAAAAATAGGGATACTATAGGTTCCATGAGTCAGCATTTTATTTATTTATTTATTTATTTTTTAATCTTCACCCGAGGAAATTTTTCCATTGATTTTTAGAGAGTGAAGGGGAGATGGAGAGACAGAGAGAAACATCGATGTGAGAGAGACACATCAATTGGTTGCCTCCTGCACATGCTAAGCCTGCAACCAAGGTTGCCCTGGACCAGAATTGAACCCCGGACCCTACAGTCTGCAGGCTGACACTCTATCCACTGAGCCAAACCAGGTCAGGTATGAGTCAGCATTTTAAAAGTACTTGACTTGGCTTCTTTTTATGTTGTGATGGGACTATTATGATTAAGTCTGTCTCTGCCTCCCTATTATATAAATAGTAACGTATGGTACATGTTTGAAATGAAGCTATTCTGAAAAATTTAGTATCTCATATATCAAACAATTATGTTATACACCTAAAAGTAATATAATGTTACATGCTTATTATATCTCAAAACTGGAAAAAAATTTATTATTTCTTAACTGGAAAAGCGGTTGAAGTAACAGACAAGATAGGAAAACAAAATATTAGCTAAATCTTAAGATTTTGGATATTATTTTTTTATGCTTTTCTGTATTTCTGAAATTTTCTACACTAAACAAGTAGAATCATGTAACCATCATGTAGTATTTATACTCTGGAAAGTTATTAAAATAAAAAAAAATGTAAGAAATACATGGTGAAAAGTACTGAATAAGTCCGTCAACCTGAGTTAGGGACAAATTGCTTATTTAACAACACGGTTGGAACTTCATTGTAATGGTGGGGAAATTATCTTCCCCTCTCGAAAGGAAATATCTGTAAATAGCTGAGATGCACTTTGAGTTGTCAGATGAAAAGCACTAACCTTTCTTGGATTTGACTCCTACAGAGAAAGCAAAAGCCTCTAATGGCTGTGTCCTGGTGCACTGTTTGGCTGGGATCTCTCGCTCCGCCACCATTGCTATTGCCTACATCATGAAGAGGATGGACATGTCCTTAGATGAAGCTTACAGGTAAGAACAGACCCTGTCTGTGTGATTGACTTTTCATATGCCCTGGAACATGAGGAGGTCTGAGGGTGGGTAGCCATATTAAAGCTCATCATGATTATTTTAGTCACACTCTTTACAGGTAACTGGATTTTTAAATGATCTTTTCAAAGGTTGGAGAAGAACGCATTTTATAATTTAGCATGAATTCTACCCAAACACATGTCAAATGTATCCTCAGCTACTTTTTATGTTTATAACAAATCCAAACAGATCTCTGTCCCGTTATGTGAATTTTATTATATCTTTTCCTAATTGGGGAAGTATCATTTATTCTCATTTAAATACAAGGGAAAAGCTCTAGAGCAGGGGTCCTCAAACTTTGTAAACAGGGGGCCAGTTCACTGTCCCTCAGACCGTTGGAGGGCCGGACTATAGTTTAAAAAAAAACTATGAACAAATTCCTATGCACACTGCACATATCTTATTTTGAAGTAACAACACAAAACGGGAACAAACACAATATTTGTATTTGCATGTGGCCCGCGGGCCGTAGTTTGAGGACCCCTGCTCTAGAGACTACGCATAGAATTTCTGCTCTGCTTCAGCCTTTGTGTGCGGAAGAAGCCTGGTACCTGCAGTGCTGTCAGACTAGGACTTGTCCAGCTCCCTGCACCGAGTGACACTGCCACGTTCTAGAGCCGCCCGGGTTTGGCAGTGCGTGATTCTGGCTGGGCTTCCCCTCCCCTTTTCTCAAAAGGCGGGTGGCAGTGACCCTAACACACTGAGGACTGGGGTTTTCTTCAGTAACTGGAGACTCTGAGTTCTCTGCATGTCTTATTGGAGACCTTTTTTTTATTCCAAATTGGGAAAAAAGAGAGCAGCTTCCATTTGAGGAAGGAGATGGAGGAACTGGGTCCGCCACTTGTCGGCATTAGCTCCTCACCCTCCATTCTGGCTCTCCTCCCCAAGTTCCTCCTGCGCCATGCAGACGCCAGGAGAAAGGCACCCTCACAGCATGTGCGAAGCCTTATTAGGACGTCTCTACGTTTATACCTGTTACAGTTGAGCCAGTTACTTCTGGCTTTGTTAATTTGGTTTCGGTTACTTGATTTCCAAGGAGTTTGTTTTTGATTTTTCTCTTTTCTTATTCAGATATAGATTTTCAGTGTAATTTCACTCCCACATCTTCTGAGGAATGTCCATGAAGGCTAGGGGCCAATAAAGAGTTTATCTACTATCTCTTAAGAGTATTTATTTCAACAATGAAACATAACAGTTATTATTACTAGTTTTGATCCCTCAATGACTTTTCTTTAACATGGTGGTGACCTTAGACCTGGTTTTGAATCCCAGTGCCATTACTTAATAGCTCTGTAATTTAGGCAAGTCACCTAAGGACTTTAGGTGCCTATATGATGGGGTAATTATACCCACCTGACATAGGATGGTTTCAAGGACTGAATGAGATAATGCTCTATTAACTTCATTTAATGCACTAGCATAGTGCTCACTGTAGCTGTCATGTCGAGAACAAAAAAAAGGAACTCAGAAACGTGTGCTTTGGTGCTCTGGCCATCTGATGCCTTGTCTTTTGGTCATTACCTTATAATGTGAACTGTCTTGAGGAAGTGACTTTGGGGATTTTGAGAAGACATTACATTGGGAAATGGAAGATGGGAAGTACAGTGGAAACTTGGTTCTCAAACTAAAATAGTTCCGGAAGGCGATTTGTTCAAGAATGGATTTGTTAAAAAATTGAATTAATCCATTCCAGACCCACAAACCTTTCTTATTACAGTACATGTCTAATGCACTGTTTAATCTATAAATAAACACTTCTTTTCTTAAATTTATCAAAGTACCCCTACTGGCCTTAAACGAATCACTTTCAGCACTCGTTCCAGAGGTATCTTTCAGGTCAGTATGCAGCATCTTGGCTTTTTCACGTCATTGCCTCTCCCTCCCCACCAGCTAACTGCTTTTTGTTTATCCAAATCAAAATTTTTCTATCTCTTCAACTGCCTGTGATTGTTGTTTTGTGACCACTTGCATACCCTTAGCAACATCAGCCCTCTTGATGGCCTCTTTATGCTTTAAAATTGTGCTAATTGACGATTTGCCAGCAATGAAAGCAAACAACAAAACCAGAAAATATTCACAGCACAATTTGCTTAGATGTTAACGAAGGTTTAGTGTCTTTGGGCATTGTCTCCTTTGTGGCCTGAGATGCTTTTTGTCATGCTGAGGTATCAACATGAAAGGGTTGCCAGGTTGAGAACTGAACTGAAGTTTTGTTAGACAACCGAGACATTTTCTCTGTGAACAACTTGGTCGAGAACAGAAATGTTCGAGACTGGAGACATTTGAGAACCGAGGTTTGACTGTAGCTGTTCCACTGCACTTCTTTCTGATGGTAGCACCAAGGTTGTGCGGTCCTAGTGGTGAGGAAAGAACCATCTCATCAATTATAATTGGAAGCTTTGGGTCCTTGAAAATAAAGCTAAAACTAGTGCTTTGGGGGACCTGGAAACCCCCTTTCTAGCATGCTCCAGGGACATGTTATAAAATAAAGCTCCCCCAATGTAGAGGCCCTTCTGTTCTCTACTTGAGGTGTCTGCCTGATTAAAACAGTCATCTTCCAAAGATACTTGGGAAGATAAATCTAATACTTCCCCATCTCATTTACTCACTATTCTTTAAGATAAAGTATAGTTATAAAATTCAAGGTGTTTTTTTCTTCCCCTCTCTTCATAGATTTGTGAAAGAAAAAAGACCTACTATATCTCCAAACTTTAATTTTCTGGGCCAACTCCTGGACTATGAGAAGAAGATTAAGAACCAGACTGGAGCATCAGGGCCAAAGAGCAAACTCAAGCTGCTGCACTGGGAGAAGCCAGGTGAGCCTGTCCCTGTAGCCTCAGAGGCTGGACAGAGGAGCGAGGTGTCCCGCAGTCCACCCTGTGCCGGCTCTGCTACCTCAGAGGCAGCAGGACAAAAGCCTGTGCTTCCCGCCAGTGTGTCCAGCGTACAGCCATCACTATTGGAGGACAGCCCCCTGGTACAGGCGCTCAATGGGCTCCACCTGTCCTCGGACAAGCTGGAAGACAGCAATAAGCTCAAGCGTTCCTTCTCTCTGGATATCAAATCAGTTTCGTACTCAGCCAGTGTGGCAGCATCCTTGCATGGGTTCCCTGCATCAGAAGATGCTCTGGACTACTACAAACCTTCCGCCACTCTGGATGGGCCCAGCAAGCTGTGCCAGTTCTCTCCAGTTGAGGAAGTATCGGAGCAGACTCCAGAAGCCAGCCCAGATAAGGAGGAGGCCAGCGTCCCTAAGAAGCCACAGACTGCCAGGCCTGCAGACAGCCAGAGCAAGCGATTGCATTCAGTAAGAACCAGCAACAGTGGTGCCACCCAGAGGTCCTTCTTATCTCCACTGCATCGGAGTGGGAGCGTGGAGGACAACTACCACACCAACTTCCTTTTTGGCCTTTCCACCAGCCAGCAACACCTTGCAAAGTCTGCCGCTGGGCTGGGCCTCAAGGGTTGGCACTCAGATATCTTGGCTCCCCAGACCTCCACCCCTTCCTTGACCAATAGCTGGTATTTTGCCACGGAGTCCTCTCACTTCTACTCAGCCTCAGCCATCTACGGAGGCAGTGCCAGTTACTCTGCCTACAGCTGCAGCCAGCTGCCCACGTGCAGTGACCAAGTCTATTCCGTGCGCAGGCGGCAGAAGCCGAGTGACAGAGCCGACTCGCGGCGGAGCTGGCATGAGGAGAGTCCCTTTGAAAAGCAGTTTAAACGCAGAAGCTGCCAGATGGAATTTGGAGAGAGCATCATGTCAGAGAACAGGTCGCGGGAAGAACTGGGGAAAGTGGGCAGCCAGTCTAGCTTCTCAGGCAGCATGGAAATCATTGAGGTCTCCTGAGAAGAAAGACACTCGTGACTCTGTTGACAGTTTTTTTCTTGTTCACAAAAAATATTCCCTGTAAATCTGAAATATATATATGTACATACATATATATTTTTGGGAAATGGAGCTATGGTGTAAAAGCAAAAGATGGGTCAACACAATTGTTCTCAGCATCTGCATCTGAGAGACCAGCTAATATTTCTCTCAACAAAAGTGGAAGGGCAGATGCTAGCGTTCCCCGTAGACGGATAAAGCAGTTAGTTATATGCAGTGAATTGCACATCTTCTCGTTCTTACGGAGTCACGTTGTATTTGGTGTTGGAGGGCAGAGTCCCCTTCCGTTTTCATGTTGTGCTACAAGATGTCAAGTTCTAGTCCTTGTCCCGTCCTCCCGTAGTGCACCTTAGCGCTGAGACTGAGCCAGCTTGTGGGTCGGTGGGCAGGCCCTCCTAGGGACAGACCCTAATGGTAAATCCAAGAGAAATGATCACGTCCCAAGCTGATTCACAGATCCAAGCTCACTGCACAGCCGAGTGGCTCGCGCATCATTCTCCTGTTCAGACCATTAGGGGCCTTGCCAAGATCTACTTTAGACAAACCCAGTACCTCAGACAGAAAGTCGGGGCTTTCACCACTACCACGTCTGGGAGCCCGTCTTCTCGGCATTGTGAATAGGCAGGTAGCTAGTCACACTTTTCAGACCAATTCCAACTGCACAGATTTCCAGTTGGGCCTGGATGGTGGTAGTTAATATTTTCTCTCCTTCTTCTCAGCTTTATGAAGAGAAGGGAACCCATCTAGGATTCAGTGCAACAGCCAGGAATCTGGCAGCATAATGATTTAAGCTAAGTTGGGAGGCTAAACAAGTCTACCTCCCTCTTTATAAATCAAAGAACTGTTCAAAATGGGGTTGGTACTCCTTTAAGGAAAGATTAACTTGGTCCAAAGCCAGATGTGAATTCACTTGGCTTGGTAGCAGAGCAGCAGCACCTTCTGATTCTCAGCCAGAGCAGGTGCTTTTCACTTGTTCCACTGCACGGGTACATTTTGTGAAAGTGTGGCCTTTTAAGGGAAACTACCAAGAGGGAGAAAAACTATAGAAAGATTGAAGACGTTTGTACGGTTGCTGAGGAGAAGCAGGAAATGTATTTCTCAGTGGTTATTTTCCCCCTTAGCATGTGAGAAGGGTGGTATTTCTATAATTCCCTTAGACTTTCAGATTTACTAATCGGGCCGAGGACGGCTTTAGTAAGCAAGGAATGTTCAGAATAAAACCATATAGGGAGGTGAGGAGAAAGTGGTTGAATTTTGTTTCGTTGTGAGCTGAGTGGAAAGCCATAGTCAAGCTATTCTCAGAAAATATCCCCAACATTTCTTTCGTAGAAGGGACCTACAGCAATGGGTGGGACCAAGGTGCTTTCTCAGTCCTTGACCTACAATCACTATGGAATCAATCCTGGCAGCTGAAAGTAGGAGGCGCTGAGGACAAGTACACGAGTGATAGTACATCCCTGCTTTTAAACGTCCTGGCTTAGGTTTTTGTCAGCTGCAATATGGTCCTCCTTTGAAGCCTTAATTCACGTCAGCAGCTTTTTGGGGAAGGGGGTGTGTTATCATTGTTCTTTACTGTAAGTGTAGCTACTTGCTGACTCATATCTCAGGTTTTTCTGTGTTTGAGAAATGGACAGTCTTTTGACTAGGATGTGACTTAGTGTTTCCTATGGTGACTGCTAAAACCAGCATAGAATGACATGATTTAAAACTGACTTGATCATAACAATTAACACGACTGTTTGTGCACAGATAATGTGCTATGATGTGGGTTTAAAATGAAGGCAGGAGAATAAATTGCATAGGGAGTGGGTGCATTGTTACCATATTGAAAAAGTTCTGTTAAATCATCTGAGTTAGTTTTTCTTATACTTTTACATTTTGGGTGTAATCAGACATTCTCAAGGTTTTACACAGTAATTTTTGATGTGTTATGTATACACACACAGATGTGTAACAGAGTTTGGTCACAACTGTTGAACATTTTTAAGAAATGAAAGCAATAGTTCCAATGTTAAGTATGTTTCAGGAGGGTTAGGGCACTTGGTTTAGATATCTGGGCAGAAATTTGCTGTCTATCATGGGATTTCTCATGACCATGGTCCCCTTCCTTCTTGTGACTGTGATGTAGTCATACACTACAACCTTTAGTTCTTGATCATTAATGTCAAATCATCAGTTCTTGGAATCAAGACTACCATGCTGAGGGGGCAGCCTGAGAGGCAGTCCTGGAGCTACGTGGGCGTCTGCAGACGGTGTGGTGGCGGGCTCTCCTCAGCATATGATCCTCTGGAAGCCTGGAGTCTACTAGGATGATAAAGAACAGTGATTTTAAAGAGCAAAACTAGACTATGTGAGAAATGCTGGGAAATGGTTCAGGACATTTGTAAAGTGAGGTGGAAAGACTGTATAAATGTTTAATATGAATATAGTGTTCTTTTGGAGTAAGGCAAGCTGTTGAATGGTTAAATTGTGCATTTCTCATGTTGATGTGTCATGTGTGTTAATACGATGAAATAAAATCAAAACTGGTACCTGTTTATACATAAATAGGAGAAAGGACCTCTCTTTGCAGCTATAAACTTGGTGGGAACAGCAATGTCAAAACTGTGAAAGGAGCAGTGGTAGAACCTCTTACGTCAGAGAGGATTTAGCTCCACATGAAATGATGAGGTCATCAGACATATTATGTGCTCCATCATTCACATGAAACACTGGGTCATTAGCATTTCCAGCCAGCCTTCCTTCTTTCATGTTTATACCAGATGCACGTGGCATTTGCTTACTGATCGCATCCAGAACAAGTCCTGGGTAGAGATTAAAAAGGCCAGATACACATCTGTGGTACACTTTAATGTATATAAATGGTGCTATACTTCTTGTAGGAAAAACCGAGGAGGAATAGTTATTAAAGATCTGTTCTCCATTCTTACCATGTACAAATTCAAATATATATATTTTATTGATTTTAGAGGAAGGGAGAGAGAGAAACATCAATGAGACTGAAACATCAACATCGACGGAGGGCCTCCTGCATGCCCCCTACTGAGGATCAAGCCTGAAAGCTGGGCAAGTGCCCTGACCGAGTATTAAACCAGACACTTCTTGGTGCATAGGTTGATGCTCACCACTGAGCCACACCAGCCAGATGCTACATACATCTTAATTACCTCTCTGCCTATAAATGACGCTGGACTTCCCTTCCGTGCAAGCTGGTGGAGTAATGAGAAAATGAATTACAGGTAATGTCACTTAAGTTGGCTGTGAAAGCTTTCTGTGTTAAAGTTCGATTTAAGAAAATATAAAAGAAAGAAGGACTGAACGGGGCCAGTGAAGACTAGAAGAGTGTGCTGGCTAGGACCTGGCAGAAAAATGGAGGTGGGTATGTGGCTAGAATAAAGGAAATACGGAATAAACCTGCCTGGAGTTGGAAGGTGGCAGGGGAGCAGGTATTTCAGTGAGAGGCTCAGATGGAGAAGGTATAGATGTTGGGAAGGCTGGAGGTCAACCAGTTACTAGTTCAAATGCAGACAGATTTGGGGGGCTGAGTAGGCTGGTGCTGGCGGACTAGTTTGGGTCTGACAACTAAAATGTGACCAGGCCTTAGACGAAGGGGAAATCAGGTGTAGATGTGGAGTAGGGTGTGCATAGTGGGACTAGCTGACAACCTTTTTACCCTTAAAACCTTCACTGCCATTGTTACTTTTAAATACTGTATGCTGTTGTTTTTCCAACACTAAGGCGGAATGTTTCACGTCTAGTAAACAAAATTTGTCTAGGTGCTTTTCTCTATCACTCTTTTGCGTCTATAAATGGAAGAGGGAAGTAAGTTATTTCCAGCATTCTGTGGGGCCCATTCATCCTATACAGCATAATTATACTAGTTATCTCTTTAAAGTGTTGTGAAATCAACTGGAAAATTACAGCACCTTCTTGGAAGATGTTTACAAGTCAACCATATTGTTGCAGTTTCTGTGCACAGACATCAAGTTGGGTTTATGTAAAAACAGAGGTTTCATTCCTTTGGTTCTAGCTGAAACACTGGAGTCAGTTTTAAATGCTATCCCACAGGAAATGCAGACTGTAACCTTGTAGGAGCAGTGTCACTGGCAAAGGGCAGCTTAGGGTTTGTGTAGCTGTGGTCTGGGTCCTCTCTGGTCAGGGGAATGGTGACCGTTTCAAAGGCTGACTTAGAAGTACATTGTTCACAAAAGCATCCAGCATAAGTCATGACTCACTATAGCAGGGGTCCTCAAACTTTTTAAACGGGGCAAGTTCACTGTCCCTCAGACCGTTGGAGGGCCGGACTATAGTTTAAAAAAAAAACCATGAACAAATTCCTATGCACACTGCACATATCTTATTTGGAAGTAAAAAAACAGAACGGGAACAAATACAATATTTGTATTTGCACGTGGCCCGCGGGCCATAGTTTGAGGACCCCTGCACTATAGAATAAAAGGTAGTAGAGGAAGATGCCTTAATTGGTGAAGAAAACTGAGTCATCAGTAAGTGCCATCAGGTCTTACAGTGGCACGACGCCCCCGGACCAATCCCTGAGAGTGATGGAGGCAAACACACCTGCATCCCACAGGAGACACCGGTATACTAGCAGCCACTGGATTTGGTTGCTTTTACATTTTGCTTTTTTTCATTTGAAATGTGAACCATTTATCTGGTTGGCCCCCACTTCTATAGCCAAGACATTTGAATGCCTTGTATGTGTGCAAGAAGTTAAATGTTATCCTATCTAATAAAAGAATAATATGCAAATTGACCATCACTTAAACACACAAGATGGCTGCCCCCATGTGGACACAAGATGGCCTGCAGAGGAGGGCAGTTGTGGGCAATCAGGACAGTAGGGGAGGGCAGTTAGGGGTGACTGGGCTGGCAGAGGAGGGCAGTTGGGGGGTCCCAGGCCTGCAGGAGAGGGCAGTTGTGGGGGGGACCCAGGCCTGCAGAGGAGGGCAGTTGGGGGGGGGGGCAGGCCTGCAGGAGAGGGCAGTTGGGGGGGGAACCAAGCCTGCAGGGGAGGATAGTTGGGGGGGGGACCAGCCCTGCAGGGGAGGGCAGTTGGGTGTGGCCAGGACAGCAAGGGAGGGCAGTTTGGGGTGACCAGGCTGGCAAGGGAGGGCAGTTAGGGGTGACCGGGCCAGCAGGGGAGGGCAGTTAGGGGCAATCGGGCCGGCAGGGGAGCAGTTAAGCGTCAATCAGGCTGGCAGGGGAGTGGTTAGGGGCAATCAAGCAGGCAGGCAGGCGAGCAGTTAGGCGTCAATCAGGCTGGCAGGGGAGTGGTTAGGGGCAATCAGGCAGGCAGGCAGGCGAGCAGTTGGGAGCCAGCAGTCCTGGATTGTAAGAGGTCAGTCAGACATCCCTTGAGGGGTCCCAGATTGGAGAGGGTGCAGGCTGGGCTGAGGGACACCCCCCGCCCCTGCACGATTTTTGTGAACCAGGCCTCTAGTTTGTTATAAATGAGTGAATGATGACATCTCCTTCAGGGCACTATGTAATGAAAGTGTAGGGGAAAGAAAAGTAAAATTACTTTTCTCATGATTAAAAATCTTACACCTAAAAAGTCCACAAGAAGAAAATTTTTACTTCATAATCTTTAGTATCAACATTTGAAATCATTTCCTACTGATTACTATATATATGGGTTTAGCTGAGGTATAAACAAATTGGGAAGAGGATATTTTCTATCTAGAATACAGTGTCTCCTCACAACCCTCAACTTCTGAAGATTCCTGGTTTTGCTTTGGGACTAAGGGAAATACCAAAGCTAAGTAAATTTCACAAATCACAGAACCAGTGACATATGTCAGTCCCCCGGGGCCACTGGTTTATGTAACCTTGGAAACAGCATGGTTGTAATACCTATAATGTACCTTTTACATACGTCAGAGGGAAAGCAAAGAAATACCTAGAGAATACTTTACAAAAAAATAAACAAAACCCCCCACTTCATTCCCTGAGTGCACTAATATACCTCAGGGTATATATGAAGTCCTCAAAACTCATTTTATCAAATATTTATCCTGGCAGAGAATACAATCAAGTTACTAATGAGAAAACTGAAGGAAACAGACATGGAATCTACATAAAGGCTCTCGTGAAATTTACATTATCACTTGATCTTAACCCCACAACTCATTTGTTGTAAATTTTTATGCACATAACAAGGAGTGAAGGCCACCTGCTTCAACTAGTCAAACAAGGAGACTGCATGTTAGGGGCCTGTTTGACGGTGTTCATAAATACAGATGAATCAACTGAGAAAAGAAGGGAGCCACTGGACCCTAATTTACAATTAACAAAAAGAAGGGAAGAAGCTTTGTTCCCTTGGGAACTCAGAATTTAAAGTCACTACACCAAGACCTGAGGCCATTGCTCAGAGACGACAGGTCAAGACGGTCCTCATCGTTGCTAAAGAGTAAAGTGTCAGAGTTGCAGACTTGAAATCTTAGAGTTGGAAGGGGCTTGAGAACCCAGTGTATGGGGTAGAGAGGTGGAAATTGAGGCTCAGGGAGATTTAAATGACTTACTAGAGATCAAGACTAGACACTTCCAGCCAGGGCTCTTCCAGAACTCCACTGCCCCCTCACTCCTGAAACATCCAAAGGCCAGGTAGGTCATCGAGTATTAACCAGCAGACATCAAGCACACCTGTTACTTGAAATAACAAATCACCCCGATTCCCGGAATCCAGTGGAAAAAGTAAAATATTGAGTAGAGAAAGCACAGGTAACACCAAGTTATCAGAGAACCACTAGGAATGAGCATAATAGGGAGGGCTGTTACAGGTACTGACCTTAAGCAGTTAGTTACGGCAGCTGGTAGAAGTCTCAGTTCAGCTGTTTTCTCTTGGCCTGAAGTCACCGGACAGGTGGCCGGGCGAGAAGCTGGATGTGCAGTGGCGAGAGCCAGTACAACTGAAGCCTGCAAGCAACACGGTGGGCCCAACATCCATCTCACCAGAACCCAGCTGGCCTCTCCTTGGAGCCTGCGTCCTCCCTGCTGCAGATGACCTGAAGGAGCCAGTCACACCTGGCCTGTGATTTGGCAGAGCAGCGGGCTGAGTTCCGAGGAGCTGGGGAGCTGGAGAAGCTCTGGGCCCAGCTGCTGTCCACCGGACCCATGGAATGTGCATGAGATGCAACATGGCCCGACCCATGGCAACTTCCAGCACTAAGCCTGGGCCTGGCATTATTTCCCTAACAAGTGACATGCATGCTCCTCTTGTGGCCAAACCTAACTGGAAATAAACAGGGAAGGAATTCTGGGTAACACAGTACAGACAGTCCTTGGGTTACATCGGACTCAACGTACATCGTTTTGCGGTTACGTCGCCATTTCCCATTTATTTATATATATATATATAAAAAGTTGTCATTTCAACGTATGTACATATGTGCTTTATGTTTATTATTTACCACAAGTAAAGGTCAGGAATTGTTATCTTTCTTTTAATTTTCTTTTACTGTTTCACTTCATTACTGCTGTGTATGTGCTCCATGTGAGTGACTTAGGTGCTTATGGAGGTGGGTTCT